CTTTGGAATTTGGGGAATACAAGAGGAGGCAAAAAGGAAAACGGTTCCCTAAGTTTTAATTTCATGTATTTTTCCTGGCTGATCTTGACTTTTTAACCAAAACTCTACATCTCCCATGATAGTCCTGACTGTATGTATCTGGCAGTTACACTAAGGGTGAGTTATGGTCAGGGCTGACATTTTTTTGATTCATATGCCAGTAATATGCTTTATAATGAGTAACAATAAAAGTAATTTTTTTTAAAGTAAAATATTTAAAACAGGAAAAATTCATGGTCTTCTTGGTATAATCCTTTAGCACAACCAGTACAAATAAAACCAATAACTTTCAGTATTTTCCATTCTAAAACACCCATGTATTTATTTGCAGGTATATCTGAAAGCCAGTGGAAGCAAGTATGAATAACTAAAATCTATCATGGTCTTTAAAACACAGAAACTTTGCCTTGGGAGTGATGCTAAGGTCCTCACCCAGTACAGTGACAATGATTTCTACCACAGAGAATACCATGCTTCCATCTTTAGGCTTCCTTGCAACAAAGACCAAATTGGTAAAGAAGCCACAACTGTATTCATTAGACACCCTGAGACATATAGCAGGATTCTAAATGACGTTTTTAGAGAACTTAATAAGTGACATTCTCCTTCAAGAATTCTGTTTATTAACATTTATATCATTAAATTTTAGAAAATATAGAGCTTCCAAATTTAGCAAAGAAAAGCTACTGTAAAATTATCAAAGTTTACTCATTGTGTTCTTACCTGATTTTCTCTTGCCATTGTAGTCAGATCATCTTGTAATCTTCTATTTTCCTTTAAAGATATGTCTCTAGATCGTCCTACTTCATCAAGTTCTTTGTGAGCTGCATCAAGCTGGCGCCTGAGGCTGCTTATCTCACGGTCTCGATTAGTCAATGTATCCTTTAGATGGCTGTTGTGATATGGAAATAATAACTTTCTGAAAAACTGTAATTCATTGTTTAAAAATTGTTTTACTCTGAATTAAGTATGCTAAGAATACAAGAAATTATAACTACTGTATTCAGATGCTTATTAAGCAGGCAATACAGATATTTTAGGTCTCTACAAACATTATAACCAACCAACCAACCAACCAACATTATAGGTTGGAAACCGTTAATGGGGCAGTTCTACTCTGTCCTACAGGGTCACTATGAGTTGGAATCGACTTGACGGCAACAGGTTTGCTTTTGGTTTTCACCAACATTATATGCAAACTAAGTCATAAAATAAATGTATTATTCTAAAAGTCAAGTAAACACAGGAAACTTTCAGGTGCTATGAGCAGAACATAACAGATTTAACAGGTAAGTATTTATTAAATGTTTAAGTCCCACTACTATGTAAAATGTTGTAAGGGTATCTAACGTAAATATAATCGGTGACTTTCATCGTGAAGTGACTTACAATCCTTCTAGGGACACTAGACATAAAAAATGAAAAATTTTGTACCACTGCTCCAGATAGGTTTAGATGGACAATACATTCAAGACTGGCTACTAAAGTAATCTAGGTTTCAACAATTAGGGCCTCAGCAGGGTAATTACAGTAGAAATAAAGAGTAAGGAAGTATGTAGAAGGTCAGTGAAAAAGAGGAAGACCCTCAACGAGATGGACTGACACAGTAGCTGCAACAAGGTGCTCAAATACAGCAACAACTGTGAGGATGGCACAGGACCCGGCAGTGTTTCATTCTGTTGTATACAGGGTCGCTATGAGTCGGAACCAACCTGACAGCACCTAACAACGACAACAGGTATATGTAAAAAAGGAGCCCTGGTGGTGCAATGGTTAAACGCTCAGCTGTAAACCAAAAGGTTGGCGATTCTCGTGAGAAAAGACATGGTGATCTACTCCCATAAGGATTTCAGCCTAGGAAACCCTATGGGTCAGTTCTACTCCATCCTATAGGGTCACTATGAGTTGGAATTGACTTGATGGCACACAACAGGTATATAAGAGAAAAATTAAAAAGACTTAAGTGTTTAGACGTGGATAATAGAGAAGGGGAGAAAGTTAAAGAGGATAACACATTTTCAAGCCAAGGAGACTGAAAAAACGATGCTGCCATTTGCTAAATGGCTCGGGGAAGTTGAAAAAGGCAATATTCCTGTTGCCTGAGTGCTACTTATATAGTAGACAGATCTGTATTCAAATGAAAATTTTTAGAAAAGCTGGATGTCAGTTCATTGATTACTTACTTCATAGATGAATCATACTCCGAGATTGTTATCTTCATACGAGCAATAGTTTTTTCCTAGAGAAATTATGAAAATATGTAAGATTCGAAACCATTCACACAGAAATATCTTTAGTTGAATTTATATAATTTATCACTTCTATTTAGTTCAAATCCAATTATATAAATTATGCCATAAAAGAAATTTCCAAATAAACATATTCCCAAGTCACAAATTGTACTTCACATATCAGTATGCTCCCACCCACCCTAAGAACTTGAATGGTTTGCTGTTATGAGATCTGATAAATGAAACTACATTCTAGATGGGAGAACTTTTCAAGATTCAAATTACTGGCATAAAATGAATTACATCGTAGCCTTTCAAAAATAAATCTTTCTCCCACAGAGAGGCTGGTGGGCTCAAACTGCTGACCTTTCAGTTAGGAACCAAGCACTTTAACACCACTATGCCATCAAAGCGCCTTTCAAAAATAGAT